ACATGTAAAACTGATCTATCTCCCAATAACAGTTACAACATGTGAAACTGATCTATCCCTCAATAACAGTTATAACATGTGAAACTGATCTATCTCCCAATAACAGTTACAACATGTAAAACTGATCTATCTCCCAATAACAGTTACAACATGTGAAACTGATCTATCCCTCAATAACAGTTATAACATGTGAAACAGATCTATCCCTCAATAACAGTTACAACATGTGAAAGTGATCTATCCCTCAATAACAGTTACAACATGTGAAAGTGATCTATCCCTCAATAACAGTTACAACATGTGAAAATGATCTATCTTCCAAGCAAAATAAAAGGTTAAAGAACTAAGTTTAAAAAAAATTACATTAACAAGTTATACAAATACATACAACTTTTTCATTAATTGTAACATGAAATCATAACATACAAATACACATAAGAAAATAGAAAAAACATACAAATACACATAAGAAAATAGAAAAACATACAAATACACATAAGAAAAGAGAGAAAAACATACACATACACATAAGAAAAGAGAAAAAACATACAAATACACATAAGAAAAAAGAGAAAAACATACACATAAGAAAAAAGAAAAAACATACAAATACACATAAGAAAAGAGAGAAAAAACATACAAATACGCATAAGAAAATAGAGAAAAACACACGAATATACATAAGAAAACAGAAAAGCATGGGCTTCAGGATAGATATATAATTCCACTCTATTTATGCAACAAGTAAAAAGACTGTCATAAACATAATAGATGCATAACCTACAAAACATAATAGCCTACAAAATCTGGTTTAATCTCATTCTTCCAAAAAAAGGTGCAAAAAACTTACACATCTAGTCTCACTGAAGAAGAAGGCATAAATTACAGCAATTCATATATAATTCTTCTGTGGTAAAAAGAAGACAATAGACACAAATACATAAGGAGATTTCTCATTTTAACTTGAATGATAACGTACTGAGAGTAAAGAAAAATGAAAGAACAATATTTTAAGTTGAAAAATAAACAACAAACATGTGCACAAAGACGTCTGTCTGTATTAAGAGAATAAATAAGGAGTTCAAAGATTAATTAGTAAAACTTTCCAACTGTAGCAAGAAAGGACAGAGTGCAAATACCTGACATAGAACCACGTTAGCAGTAAAAACAAGAGAGTATTTATGGCGATAAGACATGAAACATAATGTTTAATACAAGAGTCATTTCTAAGTATAATAAGGAGTTAAAGATGTAAAGCCTAAAGTAGAACATAGCCTTATTGTATCTACAAGAAGAAACGTGGGCTACGAAGACACATATATATATATATATACATAGCCTTATTGTATCTACAAGAAGAAACGTGGGCTACGAAGACACATATATATATATATATACATAGCCTTATTGTATCTACAAGAAGAAACGTGGGCTACGAAGACACACATATATATATATATACATAGCCTTACTGTATCTACAAGAAGAAACGTGGGCTACGAAGACACACATATATATATATACATAGCCTTACTGTATCTACAAGAAGAAACGTGGGCTACGAAGACACACACACATATATATATGCATAGCCTTATTGTATCTACAAGAAGAAACGTGGGATACGAAAACATATACATATACATAGCCTTATTGTATCTACAAGAAGAAACGTGGGATACGAAGACATATACATATACATAGCCTTATTGTATCTACAAGAAGAAACGTGGGATACGAAGACATATACATATACATAGCCTTATCTGCTTTGTATCAAAACTTACTGGGGATACAAACGTTTATTTAAAACCATTATATATTTACTATAACAGGAAGTCTAAGGAGATATAATACTCGTGTGTTATCTTGCATCTAATTGTAACAAACGAACAGGAAACTAGAATACTGATATAACTATATTTCAACTGGAATAAGAAGGAACTGATGAGTTTAAGAAACGTGATAAGTCTATGTCCAGGGAAAAAATGGAGCGCATAAACTGATCTAAATTTTATTAATGACTTTATTTGTTTGTTCTATAATGTACCAATGTTAATCTTGAAATTTATAAACTTATTAGAAATACATAAATCTTACAATAAGTATGATCCATTATGTGTTGGTTTAACATACATCACTCAGAGCTGGCTGGCTCGATTACCATAATGTTTGGTATGGTAACTGGAAACTGTCCGACAGTATACACGGACTACTTTATCTTCGAATTTTTGCCCGTTAAGAGGGATAAAAAACTCCCTGAATAGGACACATTTCTGCTTCTTTATAGACTTTTGGGTTTCAGTTTAAAGACACAATTACTTTTTCAGTAAAATGAATCAGTTATTATCTTCCACTAAACAGGGTTTGTGATTAGCATCTAATGAGGTCATTAGGGATTTAATAACAAAATAAAAAAAGAAGGGGGGCATTATCTAACATTGTACTTTTTATTATTTTTCCTTCCTTAACAGGTATCCCCTGATAGTACATCTATAATTTGACAGTTAAACAGATGTCTAAATTACTTACATCCAGTTGCCGGAAACTTGTTGCTGTGGAAAAGCCATCAACAAGATCATTGTTATCCATAGAAAACACTTATCCAGCATAATTTTTTTCCATAACCCTAAAGTCCTCATCTTGACAGAATGTTTCAGAGATGTATATTTCACTGCTGGTCTTGGTGAATAGCTTTAGAAGGGATTTTGTATGGCTCAATATAACTTGTACTTCGGTAGCATAGCGTCTCTGTGGCTCAATATAACTTGTACTTCGGTAGCATATCGTCCCTGGCTAAATTATACGTCCATAGCCGAAGGGGGGAGGAACACCCAGGGAAGATCGGTGAGTTGTAAAAGTACTAAATATCTAATCCAAACGTTGCGGTACCCTCATGACACAGGAGTCAAGCAGAGATAGCATGGTAGGAGTCCAGGATAAGAAAACTTGCGCTTTCTGTTTAAGCTCCTTAGTCGATAGGAGGCTAAAACAGGAACTCAAAAGACTAGTTAGTAAGTTGTTAAAACAACAAAGCATGAAACAGCAAGAATGGTATAATTGTCATTATTTGATTAATTTACTTCACACAATCCGTCAACAGTGCACGGGGGTTACCCTGGTAACGGTTTAGAGCGTCTGCGGCGCGAGGACAGGTTCTGTCAGCATGAGCCGACACTTCTACTAAGTGGCGATGGGAACTCTCGAAGCCTGGTGAGATTGCGATAAGAAAAGCCAATCGAAGTGGCTGTGGTTTCTCATTGGTTGGAAAAGCCTCTCGTGAAAAGTAACAGATGAAAAAAGTTCTTTATGCTATTGGTCGCTTTAAACGTGCGTCATTACAACAACCTTACTATCGTTGGTCTTTTTTTGTTTTATTAACAACATAGAAACTGTTTTTAAAATATGGTTAGATAAAAATAGATAAATCAACAAATTGATAGATTTATTTTACAAATCTACACCTTCCCACGTTTTTGTAAATCGACGTATTTGGAACACCGAGCACAAAATTTTATCAGTACAAAAATAAGGAATATATTCCAAGTAAGTACGGTAGGATTATAATTTTGTATTATATATCTGTACTAGTTTCATAGAGGTAATTCAGAGTGCCTTTAAGAGATCTATTCTCATGATGAGCACTTTTCTGTTTTTCTGGGTGTACGAAATAATTTTTTAAATGATAAATTTATGAGAACAAAATCACACTTTTTGCCTGGACTCATCATTGGTTTCAGAACTCATTCCTGCAATTTTATGTTACGATCTTCCTTTGTTTTTACTTTTTTTTCATAACCTTACAATTTCTTACTTCTCCTGTGCGTGAAAGGGGCTCGTTTTTATCAGATGTTAGAGACTCGTGGTTACAGTCTTTTCTTGTGATTACGGTTCCAAAGTTGTTGATTAAACTGAGGACTCTGAAGACAACTGAAATATTCCTTCGTGGGCATGCAAAGGTGAAACGTTGCAAAAGTTATGATAATTAAGAAGATTGTAATCAATGTGCAATGTGTTCGGTGTGACAAGCAGAAGCGATAGTTAACAATATTTCAATATTCCTTGGACCGAATGCTGTCATTTCTACAGATGCGACACACGTCGAAGTTCATATAAAATTATGGACAACACGCACAGTCGAAAACAGAGGATCTGGTTGTATATAATACGTAGTAATGAGAAAATACCTTTTAACGTGAGTAAAACCGTTGAAATTTACCTTACAACCTGTCACAGTTGATTGATATTCTATTAAAACTATATTTTTTTTTTTTGCACGCGGTACGTAGTGTATGATTATTCATCCTTCAAAATTAGCCCTACATATAAAACACTAGATATCTGACAAGATTGGAGGGAACTTAAGTCAGGAATTAACTCGAGATCATTTAGTGTAGGATAAAGAATATTAGTGTTTTATGGAATTTATGCAACGATATGTCATTATTTCCTACAACTGCGTGCTTGAGCTTCAAGTTGAATCTGTTTTTATGCAACCTTTATAACAGTAGGAAATACATTTCGATACAAATAAAATGCGCTAAAAGGTCGAATATTTGGATAAGTTTGCACATTTTCACACTCGCGAACATATTATGTTATATGTGTTTATTTGTAGACCAGTTCAAATCATTGTGGTTAAGATCATTTCACACCACTACGCCAGATATTTACTGGAAATGTGATATCACTGTTACGTCAGATCCACATAGTCCACAAAGATGCACTAAAAGTCTTGAATAACGGTTATAAAGCGGTTACGTAATCACTAATATTTCTTCTCCCACAGACTCACTTATTGGTCATAGAACGAGATTTTAATTATGGTCAAAGAATATTGCTCGGCATGACAAGGTAATTTTTATTATGTTAGTGTTTACTTTTCACGCGTTGAAACTAATTGATCGAAGGCCATTTTAGGGCACACTGTTTACTAAAAGTAAATCCCTGATTATAATGCTATCAAATCAGTTCACTAAGACAATAATTTATTAATCATTAAGACGACTTTTACGTTTATTATTTCTGGTTCAAGTATGACGTCATTCCGGCTCACACAATCAAAAGACATCTAGTTCGAACCTTATCAATGAGCATGCCAAACTTGAAAGAAACCGACGAAGAGCTTGTTTCACGTTTGCATGTAGTAACAACACCAACATATATACACCAAAACGTTTTCTTGGTGCTTTCCTTTGCTCTAAAGTTTTAAATTTTGTTTGCTTGTTTGTTTGTTTGCAATTAAGCACAAAGCTATCACAATGGGCTATCTGTGCTCTGCCCATCACGGGTATCGAAACCCGGATTCTAGCGTTGAAAGTCCGCATACATACCGCTGTGCCACCCGGGGGCTTAAAGTTTTAAGATTGAACAAATCGTAATTATTTTTAAGCACGCGTAATATTAGCCGTATGTTAGGAAGAACATAAGACAATTCACATGTTTAAAAGCATTGCGTTAGATCAAACTGTAGTACACGTACCCACCGGTGGTGCCTGAAACTAATATCGGTGGTAAAAATGTAAAAATCTAGAATACGCACAATTTCAGCTACACACCATTCTCTTCACTTCTAGGCTCGCTCTACGCTTGCATAGATTCGCCTGTGTTCTTCCATTGAAACTGGCAAATATTACACCATATATTTTGTAACTGTGCCATAAAAAACAACCACATCGTTCTTTAATAATGTGTAAGTGTTAAAAAATATTAATTTTTGCTTCGAGTTTTTTTTTAATTTTCTAAAAATTAGACATGGGCTTCTACTTCAAAAAAAAGCTTAACGAAAAAATTTGAGAACCACATAGAGGAAATACGTCACGTCTTGAAAAACGTCATCTTTACCATTCGATTTCAAGAATTTGAAACGAGCCTCGAAAGCAATAAAAAGTTATAAGAAGTTATGACTGAAAATAAAAAGGATGTAGTTATATCTGCTATATTCGGAGTGGAGGGCACAGCAAGAGGGCTTGGATACAACAGACATAGTAGTGGTCCAGACTATGTTACCACAACAGACATAGTAGTGGTCCAGACGGTATTCATATCATCAATTTTCACGCAAAAAAAATGTTTCGGTGTGAGGTAGATTAAGTGACGAACTGTGATTTATATCAATTATGTCTAACTCATTCACACATCAGAAAGTTAACTTCTCGTAAATTCAAACCAAATCATTTCTCTCATCTCGATCTCAACGAAGTAAGTAAGTTTCTGAACCGTAGAATAATTCTAGCATTTATTTCTTAATGTAAAACACCACCAATTGGATAAGGATAAAAAGCTACTCACATGCGCAGTTAAGATCTAAGTTTCTTATATGTGGTTAAACTATCCTCGCACAAAAGAAACTTCTATAGAATCTAGTTAGTGGGGGGGGGGGGGCGCTAGCATCATGGAAGTTGGGAGAAAAGGGGCGACAGGCAGATGGGTTGGGGGCAAAAGCTTTATTTTTTTTTCAAATTATATATGGAAAAAAAAAGGAAAATCAACTGAGAACCTATAAGAACTAACTGAAGATTGGATGATGTGTTGTCGATGGATTTTTTTTTATTTTGTGTAGAATTGTCTAATAACTGAAGATATATCCTGAGAGATGTAGCTTTTACTAAACATTTTTTTCAGTGCAAATTTTAGGAAAGGTAAACAAATATTAGAGATGGCATGCACTCTCTACATCTCGCCTCCCCTTGACGTTGCTACTGGATCTAAGTTGATCATATATACACCTATAAGGCCTAACTCTCTCTTAATAGAGTAAATGATCCTCCCATAAGAGGAACCTCTGTAGATCTAAGTTGATAAGTTATAAGGTCCGAATTTCTATCGTTGGAGTAAATTATCCTCGCACAAGAAAAGGATCGAGATTAATCATATACATATGTATATATAATCATATATGTGTGTATAGCTAAGATCTAAATTTCTAACATTGGACTAAATGATCCTCGCACAAGAGAAGACGCTGTAGGATCTTTAGTAGGCTATTTAATTTGATAAAAATTATCGGGATTTTTTCTAATTAGAATATTGAGTGAAGTGTTATTTTATTTAAATATTTTGCACCATACGGCGAGAGAAGCGATGTTTTGGTTTTGTATAGTTAACTGCAGGAAATTTGCGGACTTACGTTAAGAGCAGTGTTCTACAGAATGATTTTTAGAGTAGTATTCAAATATATACATATTTCTATCCAAAGAATTGAAGTAACATTTTCTTTACCTTAAAGGCTTACGAAATCGTGTAGTTTTATTCACGTTTTCAGTATAAAAACATAACGCGAAACACAATTACGGTCAAAATTAGAGAGCGTATAGAATCGAAAAATAGAGCTTCTGAGCGTTTCGCTATAATTTTAAATTAAACTATGCGTAATTTATCAGTCAAAACTTGCATGACAAGTAAACACGAAGAATAAGGAGGACCAAAAAATGAAAGTCAGCAACAATGGAATATCTATGTTTGTCATTGTAATAACGCTACACGAGACTCGTGACGGGAAGAGCGTAAAGATTATACTTTGTCGGACGTACAAAAAATTCGCGAAAAAGCAACAAAACATTCAGTGTAAGTCTGTTTAAGTTTGTCTTGATAGCAGCAAGAGATGCCAATATGTAAATATATAGAATACATATAATAATGGGCGGCGACAATGTATGCATGTGAAAATTCTAGATAACCACATAGACTTGTAATATAACTACGAGCAGCGCACGTAAAGCTTGAAGAATTAAATACATAAGCAGTAGTGTTTGATGTTAAAAATAACTGAAGGAATCTCTTATTAATTATGAT